CCCGAAAATGACAGCGATCACCAGGAAAGGATGTGAGTGTGCGTGCCCCGAAAATGACAGCGATCACCAGGAAAGGATGTGAGTGTGCGTGCCCCAAAAATGACAGCGATCACCAGGAAAGGATGTGAGTGTGTGTGCCCCAAAAATGACAGCGATCACCAGGAAAGGATGTGAGTGTGCGTGCCCCGAGTAGGTCCGAGCACCAGCAAGAAAGCTAGTCTGGATCACAGCAGCGTGAGCTGAGAGTGAGGGAACATTGGTAATGGGCACAGTGGGTGCCGGGAAACATGCCGGGCACAAACCACACCATTAGGAAGTAATGACCACGCCATTAGGAAGCAATCAATCACAGGAGCTGACTTCTGCCAGCAACCCAGTGAGCCTGGGAAGGCTCTTCCCCGACCCTCCAAAGAGGATTCTCACCTTGTGAGGACCTGGGCAGAGAGGCAGCCTGCATAGGCTTCTGACCCCTGCGAAGGTAATAAATGGCTGCTGTTTTGAGCTGCTCAGCTGCCGAGTCTGTTGAAAAGCAAGCTAGTTGGCGGAGGCTTGAGAGAAGAGTGAGTGAGTGAGCTGACTGTATTTTCAAGCAGAGATGAGCAAACTAAGCCTGCAAGGTCAAGTTATTAAAATTGTATGTTTCCCTTTTAGGACCACAGCTAAGGATGGTTTTGCCAGATAGACATTTGTAGTTGATTTAGGATAAGGAGTATTGGCCTTGAACCCTAATTAAGCAAAATGACATGGTTTTTTTGTTTGTTTGTTTGGTTGGTTGGTTGGTTGGTTGGTTGGTTTTGGGTTTTCCAGACAGGGTTTCTCTGTGTAATTTTGGTGCCTGTCCTGGATCTCACTTTGTAGACCAGGCTGGCCTTGAACTCACAATCTGCCTGGCTCTGCCTCCCGAGTGCTGGGATTAACGACGTGTGCCACTGCCGCCCGGCTTGTTTTGTTTTTTAAAAAAAGGCCAGTGAGAGCCGGGCGATGGTGGCGCACGCCTTTAATCCCAGCACTCGGGAGGCAGAGCCAGGCGGATCTCTGTGAGTTCGAGGCCAGCCTGGGCTACCCAAGTGAGTTCCAGGAAAGGTGCAGAGCTACACAGAGAAACCCTGTCTCGAAAAACCAAAAAAAAAAAAAAAAAAAAAAAAGGCCAGTGAGATGGCTAAGTACGTAAAGCTTGCTTCCTAGGATGTAAGCCTGCCTGTCTACCTAAGATGCAAGCTTGGTGACCTGAGTTCAATCCCCATAGCCACATAAGGTGGAAGGAGAGATCCAGCTCTGCAGGGTTGTCCTCTGACCTCCACACACATGCTGTGGAATATGAATGCACACACGTACACTAATAATAATAAAATTAATTAAT